GCAAAGACTGAGTTTCCAATGAATGGAGTAATTACCATTCAATTCCAACAATGAAAAGGTTCTATTTGGACATAAGATTAACATAGTTCGGTCTCAAGCTGATTCGAAGGTTGATAGTGGCAGATTGAAAAGTTTTAGCTTTTAGTTTCAATTAGATTTGAGGAGATTGTAAGCTTTTTCGATGAATTTGATTCAAAAAAAGAAGAAGAAAGTGATGAATAATTTGTATTTTTTTATTGAATAAACCACTTAACGAAGACAAAAAACGAAGGCAAAAGGAGGTGCAATGAATATAAACTAAAAGCTAAAACTTTTCGATCTCCTGCTGCTAATCGTCAGATCAACTTGAAACTAAACTATGTTAACCTTTTGGTCAAACAGACCATTTCTATCATTGGGATTAACCATCGACCCCTCTATTCATCCAAAAATCGACCTTTGTGATAATTGTTAGCTTGAAAAATTAAGATTTTTTTAGGAAAGAAGACCTTAACATATCACATTAGCTTTTCTTAATAACGGTTAACGTCAATGACCATAATGAAAGTAAATTAAAAGTTTAGTGATTGTAATGTAAGTTTTAATAGTATGGTGACTAAATTGAGAGTTCCCTAATAGTTTAGAGACTACCAAATGTAATTTACCCTAAAAATGAAACTCTTTTGACTAACAATTTTATGATCTCTTTATATTACTTCAAAAAATGAATTATTTTATTTTTATGCTCAACAGGTAATAACTAATTTATTTCAACCCTGAAAAAAATGATAATTAATCATTTTTTAATGTCGACTATCCATAAAAAAGTCTTGATTTCACGATACAAAAAAATATTAATGAAATAAGTACTGATTGGTTCGTCGACTTAGTCCCCTTTTTTTTGTCATCAGAAATGGTTTAATAACATAAAGTCAAACAAAAAAAACATGAAACCCGTCAGCATCAGCAACGGGTGAGCCCTTTTCTTTTTCTCGTTTCCTTTAATGTAGGATCCCTTTAGCCTTTATAAGTACCAACCCAACACAGTTTTGATTTGTCTTCAAACTCTTCAACTTCCATTTTCTAACTTTTCATCATAACCTTTACTTCCTCTCTGCTCTTTTTCATCAGTTTCAGACATCATGGGAACTCATCAACCTCCTCCTTCTGCCAATGGTGATTATGCCCCCAAGAACACTGTAAGTTCCTTTACACTTGTCCATCTCCTTTTCCCATGCAAAAGTGCATCTTTGTCTTGTTCCCGTACGATGTATTTGTCCGTTCTTTAGCTCTTTTGTAAGATTGTCTGGTTTAACTTCGATCCGAAAATTGTTCTTGAAGACCATTTGGGTTTTTAAAACGGAAATGATTTTTTAACAAAAGGTTCAGCTTTTTTGTCTTGTATCTGTATGATTTAATTTTCTGTATATAGCTTTACAAATCCTTAACTTTGATCAAAGCATAGTTTTTGAATGGAAAAAACAGCGATGGGAGAGTTCTAGCCCGGTTTAAAATTCAACCCGGCTCAACTCCGGGCCATGTAAGTCGTAGACAGAAAAGATATTAGCATTTTCTTCAAATGATAACTCAAAAATGGAAATAGAATCATGTGCTCCTGGTTCAATGGGCTCTTCTTCCTTCTTGTATTTTTAGGCAATATACGTGTCTTGATGTGTATGGCTAATGTTCATGAGAAAAGTCAATACTGTATAGCTCACTTCATACGTTCGACTGATTAAACTCCAAACCTTGTTTTCAACAATGACTATTGAAAAGTACACCGTTTTTGTAGACTTATTGAAACTATTGTTTTATATGGAAACTGCAGATATTATTTTATAGTAACGCTTTTTTCATTGGCTGTTGCTGTAAGTCAATAAGTCAATTACGTTTGTTTTTTTATTATTGTCTAAATCAAAAGCTTTGTCGAACCAATTGTTATCAACCAACTTGTTAGAAATAATGTTCATTAAAGTCAAGCCTGACTGTTTATTATTATATTGCTATATATGTTATATTGGACTGTTCACATTTCAGCACATGGTCAGTTTTGTAATCTTTCAGACCATACAAAAGTTTTGTCTATTTGGGACTGTTCAGGGAGTTTTGTAATCTTTGACCATACGTTGTCTTACTCTGGAGTATGTATGTATGTATGTATGTATGTATGTATGTATGTATGTATGTATGTATGTATGTATGTATGTATGTATGTATGTATGTATGTATGTATGTATGTATGTATGTACGTATGTACGTACGTATGTATGTATGTATGTATGTATGTATATATGAATTTGTTGCCTTAAGGATAATTGTGTACGTTTGTGAATCTCAGTTGCAAGAAAAATCAGACAAGCAGAAAGCAATTGATGATTGGCTACCTATTAACTCATCAAGAAGTAGAAAATGGTGGTTTTCTGCTTTCCACAATGTCACTGCTATGGTTGGAGCTGGTGTGCTCAGTCTTCCCTATGCCATGGCCGAGCTCGGATGGTATGTTACGAAACTTACTGCAAAAGTAATACGGAAATTGAATTTGATAGACTTATCTCTCGTTTTCGTTCTGTTTTCAGGGGTCCTGGGGTGTTTATCATGGTTTTCTCGTGGATCATTACCTTGTATACTCTATGGCAAATGGTCGAGATGCATGAGCTTGTTCCCGGGAAACGTTTCGATCGATACCATGAACTTGGACAATACGCCTTTGGCGAAAAACTCGGTCTCTACATTGTGGTGCCACAGCAACTTGTTGTTGAAGTTAGTCTCTGCATTGTTTACATGGTTACCGGCGGCCAATCATTGAAGAAGTTCCACGACACTGTCTGCCCTAGCTGCAAACAGATAAAGCTGACTTATTTCATCATGATTTTTGCCTCTGTTGAATTCGTGCTGTCTCACCTTCCCAATTTCGACTCGATTTCCGGTGTCTCTTTGGCTGCTGCTGTCATGTCCTTGAGGTATATAACAAATTGACAATTCACATCCTCTGTTGTGCCTTATTGAGAAATGTTAACTCAAGATTTGGTGATTGTTTTTGTCACACAGTTACTCGACCATCGCTTGGGCAGCTTCACTATCCAAGGGTGTTCAGGATGATGTGCAGTATGGCTACAAAGCGTCGACTACGCCCGGAACTGTGTTTGGCTTCCTCAGTGGCTTGGGAGATATAGCTTTTGCTTACTCTGGCCACAATGTGGTGTTGGAGATCCAAGCTACAATCCAATCTACTCCCGAGAAGCCATCGAAGGGACCAATGTGGAAAGGTGTCGTTGTCGCATACATAGTCATTGCCTTGTGCTACTTCCCGGTTGCCTTAATCGGGTACTGGATGTTTGGCAATTCTGTCCGAGACAACATCCTCCTCTCGTTGGAGAAACCAGCATGGCTCATTGCAATGGCTAACATGTTTGTTGTTGTTCATGTTATCGGAAGCTACCAGGTTCGTATCAGGTGGTGTTTCTTATTATCTTCTTGTTTCAGATTTAACCAATTAGTTTTCGGTTTATGTTTCGTCTCTATAGGTCTATGCAATGCCGGTATTCGACATGGTCGAAACTCTGCTAGTAAAGAAACTAGACTTTGCGCCTTCCCGAATGCTTCGATTCATTGTTCGCAATTCTTATGTTGGTAAGTAAAAGCAAAACTCTTCATTTCTTTCAACCTCTTTGAATGCAAGTTTATGCATCACATATTTTCATTGCAGCATAACCATGTTCTTCGGGATTACTTTCCCGTTCTTCGGTGGTCTTCTCGGATTCTTTGGAGGACTCGCATTTGCACCAACAACATACTTCGTAAGCCACATCATCATTACAAAAAACTAACTATTCTCTTTGAAGAATTTTCACATCAATAACTCATTTCTTTCGTGTTATTCAGCTCCCCTGCGTCATGTGGCTTGTCATCTATAAACCGAGAAAATTCGGCTTATCATGGTGGACTAACTGGGTAGGAAAACTTGATTCAAAGCCTTATTAACCTTATTTTTCGTTGTTTAATTGATCTTATTTGGTTTTCCTTTTCCTTTTTCCCCTCAGATCTGCATCGTAATTGGTGTTTTATTGATGGTCCTATCACCTATTGGAGGATTGAGGCAAATCATCATTCAAGCCAAAGACTACAAGTTTTACTCTTGAATCATTGTCTTCACACAATGAAGAAAGTTATAGGCATATAGTCCTATTATCAATCAATTCATAGGGGTTTACAGTAAAAGTTTGCAGAAGATAAACCAATTATTAGGGTCTCATTAAGATTAATTATCTGCTTTAAGAAGCCTACAGCAGAATAGTTTTATTCCATAAACTCTGCATTTGAGAAATGATTCAGTTTTTTAAGTACTTATCTGAAAGCATTATGTGTACAAATTATATCAACATCAATAAAACGGAAATTGCAAGGTTTATGCTGTTTTAAGGCCAGCCTCGAATGCGAGTGTTGAATGAGTATGCTCGATTTATGTATTCGTAGGATCTTATTTGTATACGCAAATGACAAAATGTATGGGGGGCTATTTTGTGCCTAGCCTGCAACAATACAAAGAGAATCAACCATCTTTCCCTTTCATAGTAAATGAGATAATATATTCATCAAATCGAAGAAGGAAACTACAGGACTAAAATGTTATTATCTATGGACCTACTTGATTTACCAAGTTGTATTATTCTAATTAATGCAAATACTCTATTCGGAAATAATTTCTTATACCATTCAAATCATTCAACAGTAGCTGGAAAAATCTGTCTGATGACGCATATTAATTTGTAAGGTTATAATATTCTAAACATATGAAAAGATATTTAACATACATTGGAATTTTTTACATTTCAGAACAATGACATTTGGAAATGGATTAAAACATTATAATGAAAACAAAACATCAGAATCAAACGTTGTCTCTCGTAATTTTTTTACGAATTTGTCTTGGCGGAGTTTGCTTTACATTTGTTGTCGCTTGCATGATTCACCTTCTTTGAAACTATCAATCAAATATATATTTCTTTGTTGAATGCTTCATAATCATTTCTTGGACATCTTCTTCTTCCTACATAGTTTCTGGCACTGTGTAAGCTCTTGGTTCAACAATGGGAACTGAATCTCCTCCTCATCAAAAGCTCGAAACCGATCCTACCAGCAAGGTAAGTTCCATTTTGAACATCGAACAACAACGGAAGGGACCATGTTTTGCAGAATTCAATTTGAGAGAGAAAGGTCAATGGTTTTTTGTTATGAAATTTCAGGTGGATGATGATAAACTAAAGAAGCAGAAGGAGATTGATGATTGGCTTCCAATCACTTCTTCAAGAAACGCAAAATGGTGGTATGCTGCATTCCACAATGTCACTGCTATGGTTGGTGCAGGCGTCCTCAGTCTTCCTTATGCCATGTCACATCTCGGATGGTATGTCTCGATTTACTTACTCTATTTCTTTCGCGGAAAAGGATTGACGAAAACTAACTTAAGGAATCGATCCTTTTTGCGGGATCGACCTCTATAGACATGTATCCATAGTTTGAAACTAATAGGTTTTCATGCATATGCTATGAAGAACTAATATTTGACTACATATGTATGTATGTATATATGAAGGGGTCCTGGTGTTGTGATTCTGATCCTGTCATGGGTCGTCACACTATACACTCTGTGGCAAATGGTTGAGATGCATGAGATGGTTCCTGGGAAAAGGTTCGATCGGTACCATGAACTCGGCCAGCATGCCTTTGGTGAAAAGCTTGGCCTTTACATAGTGGTGCCTCAACAACTGATCGTTGAAGTTGGTGTCGACATAGTTTACATGGTTACCGGAGGCAAATCTTTGGAGAAAATATATCATTTGGTCTGCGACAAACCCACATGCAAGCACATCAAAACAACATATTTCATCATGATTTTCGCCTCAGTCCATTTCGTACTTGCCCACCTCCCGAATTTCAACTCCATTTCTGGGGTCTCTTTGGCTGCTGCAGTCATGTCTCTCACGTATGTTTCCATCAGCTTTAGAGTATAAACACTCTAACAAAATCCGCATACTTGATTGATGTTTTAATTTGTTTTATGCAGTTACTCTACCATAGCCTGGACTGCTTCAGTCCACAAGGGCGTCCAACCTGATGTGCAATACGGCTACAAAGCCCCCACCCCGAGTGGAACCGTCTTAAATTTCTTTACGGCATTAGGAGATGTGGCGTTTGCATATGCCGGACACAATGTGGTGTTGGAGATTCAAGCAACAATCCCTTCTACACCAGAGAAGCCTTCAAAAGGTCCAATGTGGAGAGGTGTACTCATTGCATACATTGTTGTGGCATTGTGTTATTTCCCCGTTGCACTAGTTGGATACTACATGTTTGGCAACAAAGTCGACGACAACATCCTCATTACGTTGGAGAAACCGAAGTGGCTTATCATTGCCGCTAACATGTTTGTCGTAATCCATGTCATCGGAAGCTATCAGGTTTCGAAACATGTTTGATCTGCTTCAGCTTAATGTTCTGTTGGCTCAACAAGTACACGGTTTTAAAACTGGTGTTTTTCTTTGTTTGGAAAATGCAGCTATATGCCATGCCTGTTTTCGACATGATTGAAACCGTGTTGGTAAAGAAATGGCACTTTAGACCGACTCAAACGCTTCGATTCTTGGTCCGCAACATCTATGTTGGTAAGTAAAGTAATTTCCCTGTCCAAAGTTTATGACTTGAGAATCCGAGTTTAAAGTCCCAAAATCTGCGATCTTTGCTCTTGAATGGTCTCCTTTGTGCCCCCGAAAGGAATGAAATGCTTTATGTTCATTGTTTCAGCTGCAACAATGTATGTTGCGATTACATTTCCGTTCTTTGGGGGTCTTCTTGGATTCTTTGGAGGATTTGCTTTTGCACCAACAACCTATTTTGTAAGTGCCCGAACCCTTTTTGATTTTTCAAATCTTCATTCAATGGACTGGCTAATTCTGACAAATGTGTCATATATATATATATATATATATATATATTGCTGTAATTTCAGCTTCCTTGCATTATGTGGCTTGCTATATATAAACCAAAGAAGTTCAGTTTATCTTGGTGTACAAACTGGGTATGTTTTTAACTTAAAACATCCTCAAGTTTTACTCGAACTCTTCATTTTACTCGGAGTATCCTTATCCGAGTATTGAAGTCTGAGTAACATAGATGAAGTTTCTTCCTCGTATTATTATCTGTTTTCTTGACAATAAATCTGATATTTGGTTTCTTTTTAAAAAATATTCAGATATGTATCGTACTGGGCCTTCTGCTAATGATTCTATCACCCATTGGAGGTTTAAGGAGTATCATTATTAATGCCAAAGATTATCAGTTCTACAATTAAATCGTTTCTGGGAATGTCATATAATAAGATTTGTATGGTTGTAGTCATTGGTTGGCAATGGGGAAGGTTCAAAACTGTTGCTTCAGCTTTCTTTGTGTTGATTATCTGTGTCAATAGCAGTCTGCCATTTGTGTGTTTTTGGATGCTTGTTTCTGTACGCAGAAGTATTATTTGACAGAGATCATGCAATTCCCTTTTTTAAGGTTATCTTTTCATGTCTGGCAATGGCGTTTAGCTTTTTTTCACGTCAGTAATGCCTGATTCACCACTGTTGCATCTGTAAAAATGGAACTGTTTTCAACTCAACCGAATCTTTTGATAAATATGTAGTAGGAATTTCAGTAGGTTTAAAGGATTGCATGCGACTTTTATTGAATACAGAAATTTATGGGATCAGAGTACATAAATTTGCTCACTCAATATATGTTCTCTACTTTCTTCTTTTCTCCTCGCCTAGTCTCAAACAAGATGCATTTCAGTCTATTTCTCCATCCTCCGGATCAGTTACGGCATTTGGAACGATAGGCGGCTCACCACCTTCTTCATCTTCATCCTTCTTCATGTACAAACCAAGTTGTTCCAATGGGTTGCTCCCGAGCTTGAAACTACTCAAGCCATCCTGAGAATGTTCCGGGCTTGTTTCATCGACTGAGCTTGGCAAATACTCAGCAGGGGCAGCTCGAAGCATTTCTAAGGTAGCCTTTGGTTTGCAGGAATCCTTGGAATTAGGGGGAATTGGAATCCAATTCCACCACTTTCTCATGTTTAATTCAAGTTTTTAATGGGAATTGGAATCCCTCGTGACTTCAACTTTAGGGAAAGTGAATTCCATACATTCTATGATGAATTCAATTCCCTTGTTGGAGTGAATTAAAATTTGACCATACTACCCTCATCAATCTTTTGGTAACTTATTTATATATTGAATAAAAATATTTTTTTATTATTTCGGGTCGGGTTTCTAATTCATATATTCGGGTCGGGTCGAGTTCGGGTTTAGGGTGAAAAATACCCGACCCGACCCGAATATATATAATTTTACCTTATATATTTAGGAATAATTATAATAATATCCCTCTATATATAATTTTTTCAATTAAGTCACTATTTTTATTGAATAAAAATAATTTTTTTATTATTTCGGTCGGGTGAAACTATATTTTTGTCGGGTCGAGTTCGGGTTTAGGGTGAAAAATACCCGACCCGACCCAAAAAATATATAATTTTACCTTATATATTTAGGAATAATTACAATAATACCTCTCTATATATAATTTTTTTTTCAATTAAGTCATTATTTTTATTGAATAAAAATAATTTTTTTATTATTTCGGGTCGGGTCGGGTTTCTAATTCATATATTCGGGTCGGGTCGGGTGAAACTTTATTTTGGTCGGATCGGGTCTCGGATGGAGGTTCCCTTGTTCTCGGGTCTGGTGGACCAAAAACCCGAGCCAACCCGACCTATGACAATCCTTAATTAGGATGATTTTAACTTATGATGTTTATTAACATGATTTTTATAATTTATTGAAATGAATAATCAATCAATAAAATTAAAATTTAATAATTTTTTAAATTTTTATAATATATTACTACATGTAATTTATAAAACAAACTAAAATTAAGCAAAAAAAAAAGGCAATTCTATCATTTTAATTACTGAAATCAAATTCATCTGACATGTCTGCGAACCAAACAGAATATGGAATTGGATTCCAATTCAATTTCCTGCCAACCAAACAGAATATGGAATTGAATTCCAATTCCTGATAGATTCTAATTCATTCCAATTCCATCATAAACATTCTAACGAACTAAACGCCACCTAACTCGAAACCTGGAATTCTCATTGATTTCAACGGTCTTTTCGATCTACAAAAAAATGTGGAATATTAAGTCCGTAATAAAATAAGGCAGCCAAATTATGAAATCGTTTAATATGATGCATTCCTCTACCTTCAGTAATGCCTGTCGTGTGGCATCCCTCTCAAGCTCCCTTTTCCGTCTGGCCTCAGCTGCAGCTTCGGCTTCGGCTCGTCTTTGAGCATCTTCAGCAGCCTTGGCTTCTGCTAGCAACCGTGCCTCTTCTGGCCGACATTAGCATATTTGCCACTTAAAACTAGATATAAATACACAACCTTGTCCTCGAAGACAAGCACATATATATATATAGTAACTTGAGCAAAATTGCATTTCGAAAAGCCAGAAACACTAGATTGGAGTTCAAACCTTTCTTACTTAGATGTTCAAGTTCTTCTCTCTCACGGCGCAGTTGTTCAGGGTCAACATTCTCACCCTGATACAGAGTAAAAAACGCTTGAAAAAGGAATAGGTATACAGTAGTTTGACGAAACCAAGTTAGAAATAACCTGTGCAGTAAGCGTCTTTTCTCGAGCTTTCAGAATGGTATCAGCAAATCGATTCTTCAATATAGCAGCCCTGTAGAGTTTCTCAGGAGACACCTGTCTCTCAGCTGGAGCACTCTCCCCTATAGTTTTTAATTGGATAAACAGTGAGATACAGCTTTAAAGAAATAAATAAACCTTCGATGATCTTTAGTGATCTTACCATCTTGGTGACAATCTGACTCGACAGAACTTGACTTTGCCTGAGAAGTCTGCTCAAGCTGATCGAAACAAACATATTCTACAAGAGATTATGGGTTAACAATGCTTAAATGTAAAAAAGCATTTATAATTTCATGGCTTTGCCATTCAAGTAAAGAACTAAGAACAGAAGTACAACATTTCTTTCTTGAGACTAATAAAGGGTACAAATATTATAAATTTAGACACTCACTATTCCTATCAAGAGGATTATTGACACTCGTCTTCTCATCAAATTGAGTTCCAGAATCTACAGCTTCCAGTACCTGAAGAATAATGCAGAGTAAGATGCTAGTTAGAAGGTAGTCTGGCCCTTTGAACCCCTGGGGATAAGATAAAACTGTAAAGTGGATCAAACACACCAACATGAGGTCAAAGAACTTAGTATTATTATTTAAAACCATGTGTAACCAGCCCAAAACCTTATGAGAACCCACCGGACTTGAAGCTTTAGCAGCAACAGCTTCACCGTCAACACTTCCAGAGTCTGAATCTACAAAGAATACAAAAGAAACCAGTCATGTAAATGGTATCTGGCCACATAAGAAAACTTGCACTGAACATAATTTGGGGAAAATTTACTAAACAACATGAAAAACTAAAGAAATTAACTTGAATAATATTAGCAACATCCAAACTGATAAAGAAAAGAATTTAATACACAGAGGATTGTAGTTTACGATATGGGGGTCAAGAAATTGTTATTATCCTAAAATTGTTTGAATTCAAGAACCCATTTTTTGTCGTACAGTTTCTAAAAGTCTAATTTTAGTTGAAATGAAAAAAAGAAGCATGCCTATCATATGTGGGCTGTCGGAACCGTCTTTCGTTGGGTCTAGAATTAGGCTTCGACTTAGGAAAATGGATTGGAGTCGCCACTGATCTTTTATTTTAAAATAAATAGGTAGATCGGATACCTTATTTCTTACCTGATCTGCGTCTTACCAAAGATGTGTCGGATTCGAGAGTCGGTTACAGTCAAGGAAGTGTTAGCACCCTTGAACCGTCCTTTCGGTACTACGTAATTCCCAGTTGTCATAATTAAGAAAGTTGTAAATTTAAATTAAAAGATAAAATAACGATCCCAAAACTTACCATTGATTGGTTGAAAATGTACTCTTTCAAAAGTCAAAAGACAAGTTTGAGAAAAAATGAAAATAAATAAAATAAAGAATGATAAAGGAAATATAAAAATCAACATGAATATAACAAGACAAATAAAATAAAAAGGAATACAAAACACAAATAAAAATAGAAATAAAAATAAAAATAAAAATAAAATTAAAATTAAAAACATAAAATAATAAATAAAGTAGCAATAATCTATATACAACTGAAATAAATAAGATGAACATCAAGAATATAAAAAATGAAATAAAAAATAAAGTAAAAAATAAAAGAGAAAGAGAAAAAAAAAGCATATATACAATATAACAAAAAATTAATTATCAAATAAGAAATAATTAAAAAATATATATATAGTAATGAACGGATAAAAACATGAATAGTATATATTTACATAAAATATAATAGAGATAGGTACATAAATATATATAGATTAAAATAATGAAAATAATAATAATAATAATAAGTAAACAAGAATGAATATATATATATATAATAATAAACGTAATAGATAAAAAAATGATAAAAAGGATTAAAATTAATAATCATAAAATTAAAATACGAAGCAGGGGTTAAATTGAAAAGAAAAACAAATTGGGTGGCTAAATTAGAATGAAATCGGGGTTTAAATGCAATTTTGGGACCAAAATAGAAGGTTTAAAAACCAGAAGGACCAAAAGCACGGTTTATCCCATTTATAACGAAAACACGCGGATCTTGCGTGGACTGGGTCGGGTCATGGTCAAAACGGGTCAACTATACATGCCATTTTCCTGAAAACACTCCTTCATTCTTCCCTTTGATCCAAAATGAATCAAAATGCTCCTCATCGATTCTCTTAAATGTTCAAAGGTGTTCTTCATTATAAAGAACACCGCCGCAGCAAACCCAAAAAATCGGTGGCGCCACCTCGTCGGCCGCCTTTGATTGGCGCCGGCCGCCGGTCGTTGGCGGCAAAATATATATTTTTTTTTGCTTTTCCGAGAGCTTGTCTCCTTCACCTTTCAAAAAATCGAAGAAATTTTTAAAAACAACGGGCCTCGGGGGTAGATCTATAAAAGTTTCAAAAGCGAACCCCCTCTGGTCATCGGCCAAAAATCAGTATTTTGGCGTTTCTTTTGAATCAAAATGCAGCAAAGGCACAAAAACAACATGCAAAGGTACGATTTTTACCTTTCTTTTTTCGAAATATAAGTGCTTCAGAATGGCTACGATTTGCTTGTAATTTCTGCTTTTTATTTCGTACCAACTGTGTAGTGTTACAAATAGTTGATTACATGCCTATTCATAATCTAGGATTTCCTTATTTTTAGATTACATTTTTGAGTCCTATATAGACTAAAACACTGCCTTGTTTGTTGGTGATGGAATCCTACTAACACACGTTCGTTGTACTTGTTGATTTTGCGAGAAACGACCATGAAAAACGAACGTTTGATCGAGGAACTCGGCTGAGCAGCGTGAGGAGGCTTGTGGCGCCGTGGAGACTTGGAACGCTAGGGTTCTGGAAACCCTAGCTTGCTTGGGGAATGCGTTTTGGGTCTTGTGTGGGCCAGTAGTTTGGTACTTGGTCTGGGCCACTTGTTTAGGCCTGAAACATGTAATAAGAAAAAGAATAAATAATTAATATAATATGTGTCTAATGTAATATATGAATGAATGTAAGATGGGACGAAATAACGTGTCTACAGCTGCCCCTCTTTGTCCTTTTTCGTGAACTGAAAAATAGGGCAAAGATTAAAAGACACAAATTTCGTCACTATCGAATGTCCTCTGTCGTAGAGTGGAAATCCGATGTTAAGACTGGCTTGTCAGTTTGGATTGATCCACAAAATGACTCCCTCGTCGTGAGGTTGAGTTAAACTGGAAAATCCTAAGTACGATATCCTTCATTGTGAAGTTGAAACCGAACTCAAAACTTTGGCAAGTAGCTCCTGAATTGTCTTCAAGATGCTGTAAATTTGATATGCCTTTGAGCTAAATGTAGTCGAACTCAAAAGTCTATGATGAAGAGTTATGGTCGTCTAATAGGAAGGTTGATAACACGGTTCAGATGATGCTCTAAGAGAAGTTGTCTCAAAAGAGACAAAATTCATTTCAAGGGAAACAATCTCAAAGATATTTGTTGTTTCATGAGAAACGGTCTCAAGGGAAACAAAGTTTTATTTTAAGGGAAATAAATTCAAAGATTTTGTTTCAAGAAAAACTGTTTCAAAGGTTTTTTTTTGTGTTTCAAGAGAAACAATTTCAAAGATTGGTGCTTCAAGAGAAACTGTCTCAAGAGAGACAAAATTTATTTAAAGGAAAACATATTAAAAGATTTTGTTTCAAGGGAAACTGTCTCAAGAGAGACAAAACTTGTTTCAAGGGAAATAGATTCAAAAATTTTGTTTCAAGGGAAACCGTCTGTAATATCCTAAATCAGGGTCAGTGACTAAATTGCAAATTTTAAAAACTATGTGCTCGATTTTGAAATAAATTAAAAGTTCATGGATTTAATTGAGGAAAGTTGATGTTGGATTTAATGGTAAAGTTTGGAAATAACAAGGGTATTATGGTCTTTTCTAAGAGAAGATTTTTTATTCTCTTTTTAAGGGATATAAAAACGTGGGAAAGAGATAATTTCTCCAGAGTATTCTTCAGTCTTCTTCTTCCTCCTCTCCACCGTGAAGCCTTGTATAAGGTAAGTGGTCTTCAGTTGGTTAATTCTTTCGTTTTAAAGCTTGTTTTGATTTTTGGGATGCTAAGAAAGATTAAGGAAAGCTTCAGGTGGCTTTAAACTCAAAGATTAGCAGGTTATGAAAAATTAAGAAAAATGAGTTTTTAAGTGAATTTTTGAAATATAAGGGGTTAATAGATTTTGAAGTTTAATTTGACTTGTCAAGGGTTAAATTAAGAGATATGAAATGATAGAATGGGTTTTAGAACATGTTGGAAATTTAGTGTGATTCTTGAATGTCATGTAAATGATAGAATTTTGAGTTTAAAGAAGTGATTATGGAGTAGAAATGAGTTTAAGTATGTGTATGAAAGTTAGGAATATTAAAGGGAGTGAAGTATGAAGTGTTGAGCTGAAAATGAAGTGATTTTCGAGCTAAAAATATGATTTCTGGGCAAGGGGAATCGGTACCCATTCAAGGGGAACCGATACCCCTTCAAACGAACAAAAATTTCCAAATGTCGTGAGGGAATCGATACCCCCATAGTAGGGAACCGATTCCCCCTAAAGGAAAATTGTGAATATTGGTTTAATAAGTTCGTTTAAGTTGCTAGTATCAAATTACAAGGTGTATGTATCTAATAATTCTCTTAAAATATATAATTATGTAGATTTAGAGCCTAATCAAGTTCTAGAATCATTGACAAGTAAGATCGATCAAGGGGAAAGATAAGAGATTGGAATTGACTAGTGAGGCCAGGTGAGTGCATACAAGTTAGTTTATAATGTTTAATGAAAATAAGACTTGCGACAAGTCTATTTCCTATATTAGAAGGCCTTAATGTATGATCATAGGCATATGTTTGATTTGGGTATATGTGATATATATATTATAGTATGTATTAAATGATTTGTGTGAATGCATGCAGTGTGATAAGTTATAGGAATTAGTATGAATGATCTATATGATTACATGAGAATGTGAAATAGGTTATATGATAGGTGACCATAATGTTACATAGTAAATGTGATCAATTATAAGAATCAATATAATAGATTTATATGACTACAGGAGAAGGGTGATGAGTTAAATAAGATTAGACTATAGAGTAATATGAGAATAATATATTAGTGAAGAGAATTGAGTATAAAGGATGATGCCAAACTATAAGATAAGTGTTATAGAGAAGAATTATATTTAAAGAGAATTATGGTATAGGATTTAAGTAAAATTTAACTAAATAAATAGATTAAACTGGTATAAATGGAAAATGAGATAAGTTAGGTAGCATTTACCTAGGAGATAACATAAGATTATATGAATAAGTAGCATAAATGACATAAGGAAAACTTATGTGTTATATGATTTAAGCATTGAAATGAACAAAAGATATATTCAGGTGAAGTTATTCGGTGATATGAGTATATGCCATTATTATACGGTTTAGATGAAATACAATACATGAATAAATGTGATTGTGTGAGAAATGATAGAAACTATATGAGAACATGTATATGTCAAAGTAATCTATGTGATTATATGTTATATGAATACAAGAACCTGAGATATGTAACATGTGAATTATATGGAAATGATCTACGTGTAAGTGAACTATGTGACTATGTGATAATGAGCTATGTTCAAAAACTATGAGACTACGTGCCCAGGTAATATGAATATGTGAACATGTGAAATGACATAA